ACTCATGAAAATTCAATAAAATTTCATGCAAGTTTTCTACTTTTTTTAGAATATTTTTGAGTATTGGCAATTTTTTCCACGCATTTTCTTGCATACAAGAAAAAATTTCAAAAATACTTTGCAAGGAAAAATGCAAAACACCTTCAACAAAAAAAAATCTAAAAAATTATTTGCAGTGTGAACCAGATTTTTTATAAAAAATTTGCGGAAAAATTTAAGCAAAAATTGTTGCATATATTGTGAAAAATTCTATGTGCCAATACTCACTCAATACAAACACCACAGCGGTGTAATCAGAGCGCGGGTGTTGCCATATTTGAAAACAGAATGACTTCTGGGCGATTTCAATTAGCGAGCTTGAAGTACATATGTAAATAATACCTAAACAGCTTATTAATTAGCAAATAGAAAATATATTAAGTTTTCATGCATACATAAATGCAACATTCACCAAATAAAGCAGAATGCATCTCAATAACAACGTATATCGATAAATTTTTTAAGGGGGATTTATTATTTGACGCACGGCAAAGACTACATAGTAGTGCAACATTGCACACTAACACAGTGATGCATTTTCAAAAAAGCGAAAATTCTATTTACATACATTTGTGTACGCGCGGCGCTGTCAGTTGCCAGTTTCTTCTTTTATCTGCTTGAAAACAAAAGCGCAAAACAGAATCGGAATTTTGTTGAGTTAACATTTATAGTGGCATAGTCTGTTTATTGTAAGTTTCATTTTGCTGCTTCCAGTGAATGGGTCGTGTTGTCGGTACGCGGTGTTTGCTATAATTATGTACTACGTATACACCTAACATCAAATTTCTTAAAATAGTTTATGTGTATTATAAGACGTGTGCAAAAGTGATTAAAAAAAATAAATATATATTTTAAATATGTGTGTGAATACATAAAACGCAAAAACAACAATAATAATTAAGAGAGTTTAGTGGAAACACGCAGCGCTGGTTCTTGTTTTTGTTGTTGTTGTTTTACCGGCGTGTCTGCTTGTCGAATGCAATGCCGGAGTACGCGCGCATTTCTGTGCTTTGTTGTTGCAGTAATGCAGTAAAATGCAACGCGTCAGCGTAAAAATTGAACTATGTACCTACAAATGCAAGTACCAACATAGTGCATTCTAAATTATTTTAATTTGGAGTTTTTCACCTTTCTGTGCGTTTAAAAAAGGTTTTCCTATTTTTTTTTTAAAGCTGTAAAAACTCGTGCAGTTTAATGAATACTTACTTACATACATATGCATGCAAATAAATAAGTGAAACCGACATTTTTTAATTGTTTGCTGAATAAAATCGAGTACTAGCAGAAAATTTGCAACAACAACAGAAAAGTTGATTATTTCATTTAAAATTTGTAAGAAGACAACGGAAAGGGAAGCCACCGAACAGCTGCAGTTTTAAGTGAGTGCAAAAGACAGATACGGAAATTCATACAAAAGCATTAACAGACTTACAATAGGTCGCAGGTATGTATATACATACATACATATTAAGGCATGTGTGTACATTGTACCCATACATACATGAGTGCTGAGATGCATACAAACATGTGCATACCTAGGAAAATACGCTTGAATGGGAATACCTGGCAGAAATGATACCAAAATTCTTTTGCAAATATACCTACTATATATGTACATATATGTACATAGGTGACAGCGGTTTAAGCATTTTTATGAGTAATTCTTTAACAAGAATGTACGTATATATGTATGTAATATCTTGTTCCACGTACGTACCCATATTTACTCACATACAGAGTACATTTATGTTTTTATGAATTCTTGTCTATGTTCAACTGATTTTGTATTTGAGTACTTGAGTGGAAGATCGACCTATCTCAAAACGCCCTATCTCAGAAAACTTTTCAAGAAAGCCCTACTTCACAATTTGATTGAAGAACGCCCTCTTTCAGAATTTTATTGAAAAACACCCTGTCTTAGAATTTGGTTGAAGAACGGGCTATCTCAGAATTGGGTTCAAAAACACCCTATCTCAAATGAAAATACATTGAAAATGTGCTGAGATAGGGCGCTTATGAATCGGCAGCTAAGTTAGGGCGTTTTTGAACCGAATTCTGAGATGGGGCATTCTTCAACCAAATTCTGAAATATGGCGTTGTTGAAAAATTTTCTGAGATAGGGAGTTTTCGAACTGGCGGCCGAGATAGGTCGATCTTCTATTCAGACGTCGATATGTACATACATTCATACAGTCAAAGACAAATGTTGAAATACATATGTATGTATAGAGGATTTTTGGCAAAGTATGCAAAAGTTTTTATTTAAATTTTTTCCCGCTAACTTTTCATGAAAATATAGTTCGTTCTAAAATAAGAAAACAAAAAAAATAAAATCTCTAAACTTTATGCTAAATTCAGGAAAATTCAATAAATTTGCATACTAATTTTAATTTTCTTATCAAATTTTATAATAATTTCTCTTAAATAAAAAAATAAAATCCCATAATATTTACTATATTTGAGTGAAAAAATAAAAATCATAAAATTATCATTAATTTTGATCGAATTAGTATAAATAAAATAATAATAATTCCTTTTCAGAAAAACACTAAAACTAAAAAATATATCATTATTTTCAACTTTTATTGGTTATACTCGAAAAATACAAATCATTGAAAATTATGACAGAATATAGAAAGAAACATCTCTAGGTGAGAGGAGAGTTTTTTTACACCGCTTAGAACATGTGGATTTCTTAAATTAAAATTTAAAAAATTATTATTTTCCGTCCCTGGCTAACAACAGGTTGAAAACTAAAAATTAGAGTGGTCCTGAAAAATATTAACATTTACGAAAACCAGGCTTTGGAAATATTTAATTTTTTTAAATCGCGAAAATTCAACAAAATTTTGACTTGCAATATGACAAATTTGACATATTATTGAAACTTTTTAGTATAAATTCAAAACTCGCTGAGTTATAGCTGGTCAAAGTAAAAATTTTGTTGAATTTTCGTGATTAAAAATAAAATTGAATTTTTTCAAACCCTGGTAGCAACGCTAAGCATTGTTTTAAACATACAACAAAATAAAGTGGTGCCACATGATGTTGATATTTTAAGTATCACTCTAATGATCACTATTTGAATCCGTGTCTCTATTGCTCTCAGATGCCGAATCCGTTTCTTGAGTAAATAGATTCGCAGTACAATATAGGCAGTTCTTCAAACGGAAGCCGTTTTTGTTGAAAGAGTTTGCTGAGAGACACGCTTGCTATTAGTGGATTCGAAGTATGCCTTTTCTTTTGTTAGGTACTACATATTATTGTGCCGTACTAATGTTTATTTAAATAGCGTATACATACATTTAAGTGATTTCTTGAAATACAGTGTATTTTTTTTAAGTCGATAGCTTCTCGTTTTGTATTACCTGGTATTTGTCAAAAAAAAATTCAGTGGGAGCACTCAGCTGCATCTGAAATAAATGCCATTGAGTTCAGACTACTTCCCTCTAATAAAAATTTTTATGTTGGCTTATGAAATTTGCCATAAAAATTTTTTTCTCATAATTTTGATCAACCGAGACAAACTATTTTTGACTTACTATTAGCACCATCAACCATAGTAATTCCTTTATTGCAAACAAAATTGCTCAACACCAATCTTTGTACTTGATTTAATAACAGGTCCAATGATTTTTTGTGGCAGGAAATTGAAGCTTTGGATGATCTTTAGCGCACCAAGTTCGCTAATCGCGTTCCAAAAGTAATAGAAGTGTTTGCTCTTTCAAATAAACCAATAATATACTGGAAAATAGATTTTTGTTATTTTGTTTTTAAACTTTTGTAAAGAAACCTCAAAAAAATTGCATTCTAGGCTCAGTAGATTAAAATAATGCCACGTGTTGCATTTTTATACACTGAAAAATAGCGGTAGAGCTCCGATAAATTTCATGCACCCCAAAAAAAAGCTACATTAGTCTAAAAAAGTCTATAAATACTTACATGTTAAGCGAAAAACTTTCAATTAAAATATTACTATTGAAAATGTGTTAATCTTAGAAGCAACGACAAACTATCAAAATATAAACATATGTACATGTAAACATTCAAACTTAGTATATGTAGATATATATAGTACATACCATTAAACATGTGACTCAGTTGAAGTTCGCGCGATAGTGATTAATAAATGGTCTCATGCTATTCGATTTCAAACGATTTACATAAATTTATATTTGCACACATATGTACATGCATACAATGTACATAAATATGAATATGTATATACATATATATAATATATGTATGCAAATAAATATGAATATAAATGAGTACGTATGAGCAAATGTGCATTGAGTTGATAAGCAATTCTGAAGTTATTTTTGGCATGGAAAATCATATACATAAATACATGGTATGTATGTATGAATCGATGCATGCAGATATGTACATATATGTATTACCATTTATATGCATATTTTTAGTATTGAATGAAATGAGTCACTCCCCTGCAGGAAATTAAGTTAATTTGAAAGTAATTTCAATTCAATAATAACTAATTGAAATTTTCACTTTTTTTCCCTGCAACGAACTGATTTATTTAACATTACGATGTCCTATTTAGGAAGCAGTCAATTATCCGACTCTGCATTTGATTTCAATTACTTTAAAACGCATTTGGCTTAAACAACTTCAAAGTCAGTATGTTTCGTTTGAATACGCTTTCGTTCTGCACTTCACAGATACTTTTTCATACTTTCGAGTAATAATAGTAAGTATCATATTTCAAAACATTTACTAACTGTATTTGTTTCAAAGTAGTTTTCCAATTAGTTGATTAAAAAATAACACTTTTTCCCGCCAGGGCTACATACTGTAAATACATATCATACATACATACACATTTTCTACTGTTATGCTGGATTTACACTAGTCAGTAAATGGCGAAAATGACAAATGACAAAGTTTGGCCATAAAAAAATAATCGTGTCATTACAAGTCATTAGTCATTAAGTTCATTACCACATGGCATTTTTTTAAATGGCATACCTTTTTTGTAATTTCAATGCGTAGTGGAAATTCGGCATTAAAACAAAAATCGTAAAATATAGTGCTACATACGAATGCACCATACATATGTACATGCATATGTAAGTACATATGTACATATTAATGTATTGAAAGAAAAGTGCATTGACTCCCAGTTTATAAATGTAGCTCATAAATATTGTACAAACACGTACGAAATTTGCTATAAGACTTACATATTGCTACCTAAAGGTGAAAAGGAGCCAAGTTCATTTTTTCAAAATTTAGTTTTTGGTGCAGAATTGCAGGTAATGCGGCACAACATTGATTTTCCGTCTCCCCTGAATAATTTCAAAAAATTGACTTGGCACTTTTTCACCCTTAGGCGACATTATTATATGAGCAAACAAAAACGAGTTTTTGGTCGAAAATAGTAATACACCTATCTTTGAATTATCTTCAGTTTTGTATAAAGAACAAGATTTCATCGCGAAATTCTATTTATGTAAATGAAAACTTCAAAAAGTATATGTATGTATGTAAATATGTACTAAACAAGTAATAATAACCACTAATGCTCAGATACCCGTAGTTGCGTATGTAAAGTATACGCCCCGTAGCACCATGCCCAAGTCATCTAACACGTTTACTCGCACGCCTTAATTTATAAGTCATATTAATTAAAAGTAATTAATTATTGGCAAGGGAGATTTTTACACAGCATTCCTTATGCACATTTGTATACATTACTTTCTTCGTGTATATGTGTACATATAACAATTTTAGAATGAATTTCGAGTTTACCAATAAAAATTGTAAAAATGGAATTTTAGTTTCTCAAATCATAGGCATCTTTTACTCAATGCAATTTTTTTCCATTTGGTGACACCCTAGTTTTATTGCACTAGATTCGTTTGTTTTGGCAAGACCGTTTAATTATAACATTTTACAGTATCTAAAATTATTAAAATTAAACAAATCGTAAAATTTCAAAAATTACAACATATCGGCGACAGATATTCTGCATGCTGCCATTTGTTTTAATTTCATGGTAAACTCTTGAAACTTGAATTTTCATCAATTATTTGGAGGGTTTCGGGTTCAAAAGTAGAAATAGCAGCCAGGAACTGAGAAGTTTGTGCTGCTGATTTGTCGTTTTTCTAAGCTGCTATCTCTTCAAAGGCTTCACTAAAAATGTCTTTAAAATTTTTTAAAATAATTTTTATAGAACTAAATTTATGGAATGTGCAATACATGGCAGATGTTGCTTTTTAAGAAGCTCACTAAAATGACAAGTAGATATCAAATACCCGAGTGCATTTGTGCACAAGGGAATTATAACTTTTTTGCACATAACGGTTGTTTGTAAAAGCCTAAAGGACTTGAGATAAATAGAGATATATACATATAT